ATTGTATTTTTGAAAGCTATAGCACATTTGTTTTGCATTCACTTGCCATCTCCTCCAAAACTGAGGATTAGCAGTCATTTCTCAGAGGCAACTCTGCACTCAGAAGTGATGTTTACAAACACTAAAATCAAACAGATTTGTTCCAAATAAAAGCTTTCTGTTGGAAGAATTTCAGTTTGTTGGACTGTGAATCTGTTAGTTAAATAATTAGTTAGATAAATTGATTACATTTTTCCATCTAAAATCTGATACGAACCATCTAGAAATTGTTTGGATGAATGACCCTTCTATGGATCACATCTAATTTAAGTAAATTATTTTTACATTACATTTTTAAAAAAAGATTGTCTGAGCCCATAGAGGTGTGTGGTTATATTAGTATTGGAAAAATAAAATTATGATTGATTTGGGATTGTAAAAGCAAGGCTTATTCCAAGATCTTTAACTTCACCTTTTTGGATAAAAATGTACTGCATTTCTAAAACAGCCTCTGAAATCGCCCCAGGGATGAGTTACAAAAATGTTTCCTTAGAAAAATGTTAGCAAGAACCAATCTGACAAAATCTAGGAGAATTCAACACCTAGAGCTCTTACCATCTCTTTTCTGGGTATGGATTAATGTTTTGAAGTGAAAAAAATTGAAGAATTTTCAGTCCAAGACCCTTAGCATTTCTTTTTCTTTTATGTCATTCCTTCCCTATACACATCTTTGACCATCCCTAAGGAGTAAGTTCTCAGTGTGGAGACAAAGGAAAGGGCTTTAGTAATGGGAACGCTAGGACGCAGGTTTGTGTCACAAGCTGTTAGTGGAGTTGTGACTCCTCCAGTTACTGAGTCTGAGCAGCTGCCCCCTCCCTCCCCAATAACCTATGTTACCTAGGTTTTATATGTGAGCACCCAACAGATGGGCTTCCTGTTGGCTCTTTGACACCACATTAAAGAGCAACCAAGTGCTACACAAAGACATAGCGAGAAACAGTGATCCAGCAAATAGCTTGTCATTTGCTGATTCCAGTAGAGGTGAACTTCTTCCCTTTGGCTAATTGTGGGGAGGAAGGAGGGCAAGAACTGGTGCCAGAGTTATGGACTGACTTGTGGAATCTTCCCAGCAGGGAGCACTGGGAAAGGAAGGACCAGCATAAATCTGGAGAGAGAAACTCTGAATGCAGCTTCAAACTGAAATGATTTTATATTCCTGCTCCTCTTGCAATTAGGCAGACAGACTCTTGGGACCTATATTTACAGTCTCAAAGTCATTGCAAATGTAATTTACAGTCCCTTACATGGAAAGTAGTCTTGGCATAAATCAGGCTCCTTTGCACAAATGGCTGATAAAATTAATTTCTTATTAGCTCCTCTTTTATTTAGCTCAGCACAATGTGTCCCTGTTCTGCTTTCCATCAGCTCATCTCCTAGTATCTATTCTCCATCCATCCTCATAATATTTTCTCATCCTTTCTGCATATTTTTCTCACCTATTTTCACCTTTTTTTTCAATAATAAAGATCTTCAGGCAAAATATTAATTATTTATATCTTATTGCCTCTAACTATTGCTTTCTGTCTGACTCAGAGCCATGACTGTTGAATTTATTTTATTATATATGGACAAAATCTCTATACTTAGGAAACAAGAACCATTCTCAGTAATTTTGAGCACAACCTAAAGCAAATGACAGAAAACTGATAGCAAGTGCTACATCTCTCCTGGCTCCCTGATGTAGGGATTTAAGAGATCCTTTGATGCTACTTTGCCTGTGACATGTACACATCTTTACAGCACTGGGAAATGGGACGATCCTGCAGTAAGACAACTTCAGTATAGGAATGGATCTTGCATTATTCTGCTGTAATATCAACAGGTTGAACTTGGATATTTCAAGCTCTAAGCTTTATGAACGGAGAATCTTGAAGTACCACTTAATTCCCATTTTCTTCTTTGTGGCCATTGCAAGGGAAGTGACTGAATATAATCTAAAGGAGCCAGTCAGGAATCTATCACTCCATGTGCTTTAGGAGAAACAGAGTGAAAGCAGCCTCAGCTGCTCCTGAAATAGAGTACTACTTAATGGGAAACAGGTTTAATTGTGGCATAATTGAGCTGCTAACTGGATTTGCAGCAGCATTGCTGATGTATGGTAACTTTGATGAACATGATGAATGCTAAACTCTTTTCAGATTTGCCCTTGTTCAAAAAATGACCATTTTTCAAAGTACATTCCAAAGCTGTACTTCAGGCTAAGAAAGTCTAGTCTAATAGTTTGACTGCTGCTTTTCCTCTCCATATATTCAGAAGTCAGCACATCTGAATCCAAATCACAGTCTAGCTACTAGATCTCTTGCTTTTTGCTGCAGCTGGAACCCAAATGTAGCCTCTAATTGGTAAACACTCATGAATTGCTTCCCAGCAACCTTCAGAAAAGGCATTTTTCAGAAAGTTTCTAGGACTTAAGAGGTCAGAAAGGAAAAAAAAAAAAGTAAAGGAAGAGGAAGCAAAATCCACCAGGATTCCATCTCAGAAACAGCAATGGTCTATGAAGATTTCCTTGCTTAGCTGCTCAGTTACACAGCTGTTTTAATTGGCTGCAGAATATTTTTTCTCTTCCTATTTTATGATCCCTTATCCTGATTAAGGGAGCAGAACTCCTGGTTTGGAGACGCTCCTGAAAATCCTGGGAATCTCACACTTGAAGTGGCAGTTCTGTCAAGTGTTCTTAACAGCAAGACATTGCAGGCTGCTCCTTGGAAAGCAAACAGAAGCAGTCTTTTAAAATTCAGAAAAATGTTTAGGCAGGAAGAATAAAAGGTTAAATGGACACAAAGAGTGCAAGGTCAGGTTCTGTTTTTCTAAAGGTTCATCTGCACGTTGTAATCCAAAGGACTTTCTTTATAGCATCCAACTATAATAATGATAATAGCATAACTGTGACAGCACAAACTGCGCAATTTCTCCCAGTCTCTGTACAAATTTGCTTATCTGAATCTGTGATGCTCTTCCCAACTATATTTTTAACACTGCTCAAACTGGTAAGCTTAGAACAGAATCAAGCATCTCTGTCCAGAATCCATTCACACCTCTGGATCCCCATGAAAACACACTCTACTAGCAGAAATGTGAATAGCTTCCATTTGCCCTCTAAGGAAAAGCTGGATTAGATCCACCTACCAGTTTACCTTTAATGTTTTTTTTTCTAATGAGATATCAGAAATTCTAGCTCTCAGCATTTTGCTGTTTTCACAGATAACAGCTGAGCACTTAGCTATACAGTTTGTATAATAAGAGTTAAACTCATCTCGTACATTCTAAATAGGAAGGTTCTTTGAATATATGTCACAGGCACGCTGTCATTACCCTTTTAATGCCTGACATGTAATTATCCTTATAGTGCCACAGGAATTGAGCAGCTGCTTATTTTAGGACGATGCTTCTAAAAAAGAATCTTTTATTCAATGAGGATGTATAATAGCAACAGTCCAAGAATACAGTATTTCCTACAGAACAGAGCTACAGAAGCTGAACTGTTAAGTTCTTGGCCAATTACATCTAGATACCCTTGGTATGAAAATGGAATTATATGCTACACTTGTAGATTACTAAATGGGTTGTATCAGCGGGCCTTTATTTTCCCAGCACGTTTCTACAGTTAAATTAGTATAGAGACTTACTCAGTTTTCCCCCATTTAAGTTGACACAGATTGGCTCTGTCTCAGAGTTCTATCTGACTCATCTCTGGCCTGATAAGACAAGTGCTGAAGACAACTCTGAAGTACCAGCTAGCTAGTAAGAGAATGTATGCACAGTTAGTGGGGCAGGAATCGACTCCTCAGGCTTTACTGTCCACATGTCTGAAGTCACACAGGGCAAAACACTCAGTACTTCAGTTTCTCCAAAATGCAGTTATCTTGTATATGTCAAGGTCCTCCACTGATAGGGGATTCATCAAGTTCAGTTGTGTTATCACAGTGCTAAGTCTATTATCACAGTGTCGATCGAGGTCAACTATTTTACTCAAGCAGTACATAGCAAATAAAGGCAATAGAGAAAGATGAGGAGAAAGATAGAAAGATCACAATTACTTGTTCTGAATGAAAACTAAAAGACTAAGAAACTGCATCCCCAAGCCAACATCCCATTAGAACTGTTCCAGAACCAGGAGTTAGCTTTGCAGTTGCCCCCTGGTACAGGGCTCCAAACACAATGCCATTCCTCCTCACAAATACAGCCTTAAGTGAAATATTTCTATGTAGATCTGATCAAGCAACACGACCCCTCAACAGCACAGAGCAGATGGGAGGAAGGGAGATTCATGGCAACATTCGCCCACATCCCTCTGTCTTGTGCACACAATGTGTTTTGGCAATTCTAATGGTGGACTTCACCAGTCCTTGGAGAGATACTCTTTCCTACACAACTTTTTGTTGATCTCAAAAGAATTACTCTACTCTGCTAAGCAACAGAATTTCTTCTGCTATTTTCCCACTATCTCAATGAACAACAAAGAGTTCTATGTCCATTTTGAATTCACCAATTGTTGCTTTTCCTATCCAACCACTTGCCCATTTGCAGCCTCACAGAAACTCATTCCATCAGAAACTCATTACCCATGGTGCAAGTAAGCTAGCTGCTTGCTTATCTAGAGTCACAGAACAATTTAAGTTGAAAGACATGACTGAGGGATATCTAATACAACTTCAAAAGTAAATCAGCCTATTCAGGCTCTTTACTGGCCAACTTTTAAAATTTCCAAGGACAGAGATTCTTCAGCCTCTCTGGGCATCTGCTCAGTGCTTAAGGAAACTAGAAGATAATGAGTGACACTTCCAAAATGTGGGAAGCAGCACAACATATGGCTTCACAAGAAAAACCATTAACTGCTAGCAGTATCTGAAGGACAGCTCCTAGCACAGTGCAGCATCCATTTCCACTGCCCACAGGATGGGATAGATATAAGCCCTTTTCCCTCAGTGACTTGGCTTTGTTTCTGTGTATCTGGTATGCAGGCGAGGAGTTCTGCACCTGCATGAAAGCCGTGGAATCCATGACCTTGGCTTGCCTCGCTGGCAACTTTCCCTCTGCCTCTTGGTGGTGGTAATCATTCTTTTCTTTAGTCTGTGGAAAGGAGTGAAGACTTCAGGAAAGGTAGAGATAATATTGTCCTTCTATCTCAACTACGTTCTTTGTCTTCTTTAAGAAGTGTCCTTATTCTAGGAACAAAAGACTAAATCACTGCATCTGAGGGATCCTTGGGGACTAAACCATGCTAGAGGCGTTCATATGTGTGCAGTGGAAGTACACAATCCAGATTCAGCCTTTATTTTATCTACAGATTCTGCTTGCATGATGTTTTGACTGGAAATTTTACGAGCATATTTTCAGATCTGCATTGGTGGTCTCAACCGAGAAAATACCTTGAAAGACACAGATGCTTTAAATTGTCTGATGTGCATCCCATTTTTAGCCAAATGTGCTCATGTTTTCATGCTTTGTTGTTACATAAAATGGCATGAGAAGAAAAATAAATGCCTAATAAAAGGAATTTGAAGTTTCTCTGATATCCCTTCAGAAAACACCTTACCAGAAATTCTGGGGTTGCATTTTCATGAAAGTATCACCCAACAACATCAGGCAGCGACAGCAGACCCTTCGTTATTCTTTACGTGTTTCCTCCAGGGCATACTATAAAGAGCTTCTCCATAGAACTGAAAGGACAAAGCCAAGAAGGCACCAGCTGTATTTTTCACACATTCTTAAATCTTCTGTAACAACTTATTAACCTTTAGGATCTCTGTTGTCTGCAGGTTGTATGGATAACAGCCACTTTGCCTTACGTTGTATTATTTGTCTTGTTAATACATGGAATAACCCTGCCTGGCGCATACAATGGAATAAATGCATATCTGCATATAGATTTCAGAAGATTGAAAGAAGCCACAGTAAGTGTACTCTTCTGCTCTCATTCTGTATTATTAAACCTGTTACCGCCGTTACTAAGTTGAAATTATTAGATCTAAACTCTGGAAATAACACAGCCTCATTTCTGCTTTTGAATAAGCATCCCCAGTATTTCCAGTAGTCTGAATTCCCAGCATCCTCCATGACAGGAGTACCTTAGCCTGAATTCAAACTGCGCTGATCACTAAGAACCTGCACAAAGGTGGTTCCATCTGCACTTGTCCCTTGAGAAGTCCACTCTTTGACTGTGCGCCCTGTAAATAACACAAAAATGTATTGCACATGAAAATTGAATTATAAAAAATTCAGCTCTCTAAAGGCTGAGAATTACCGCAAGAAGAAAATTTTGCTTTTTGAGTCACTTGGCAAAACATTAACCTGGCAAACAAAAATCCAGGCCTATAAGCACTGTAATAAATATACTAAGTCAGGGCTTTAACTCACCTAATCATTGTTATTCTTATGAAGGACACATTCAATAGGATGGTGTTCCCATCTTTCTATAGAAAGTAATGTACATTTCACTGTATCACTTAATAGTGTGTCATTCTCATGAAATCCACCCAAACCAACTCAATTTGTGGAGTACCTTGAAAGTACAAATTATTTCATCCGTTGTAAGACAAGACCGAAGTATAGTCATTAACCGATGAAATTGTCAGCATTTCAGACTAACAGAGAATGATGATCAGGTAAATCTTCCCAAAGTCCTATTCTAAAAATAATGCTGTCTGAGAAACAACTCAATATCTCCGTGGATAGACCATTCAAACAGATACAAAACTGAAAAGCAAGAATGTGGTTCTACTGGTAGGAAAAGAACTGTCTTGAAAATTGAAAAGCTCTTAAGAGATATCTGTGTAGTCTGCGCATAGTTTAACTGTATGTTTCCTATACATTCTATCTTGATTTTTTATATTGTAAGTACTGCTGAGAAAAACATCACACATTCTGGATGTCCACGGAGCTGCGTCAGCTTGCATCAGCTCCGAATCTAGGCCTCCACACTCACAGCTGTCTTCTGTGTTTGGAAGGATAATTCTGTGCACTGCTGTTTCTCGTCTTAACATTTTTGCAGCTGCTGCTTGGCTGACCCCAAACGTATTTGTTGCTATGACGTTTTCAAATAACTTAAAAAAAAATATTGCTCTAGAATAAGAGACTGGAGATGCGTTATAAGAGAAGTTTCCCAAACTGCTTATCATGTCAGCCACCCCTGCTGGCCCACAGAGCCACCTGCTGCAATACTGGATTTGCATGTTTGATCTTTGTGCTCAGCCCCAAAGAGCAGGCACTTGCTTCAGTTCTATGTCAGTGTTTCCCTGATTTTCATTTGCAATTTCTTTTTACCAAATTATGAACAACAACAAAAAAAAGGTCGCAGTGATGACCTGCAGCAGTCTCTGCCAATGCTCCTGCACAAAGCACTAAAGCATCTTGCAAAGGATCCATGTCAAGGTCCTCTCATTTTCCAAGGCCATGTACTGAACAGTAGTGAGAAAGCCCTAAGACACCTCAGTTCTCAGTGATATTGAACCCACAAATGATCTCTTATAAAGAGAAGAAAATATTCCCCTGAGGATCTCTTTGTTATACCAATGCCCAATAACATTCCTTGCTGAAATTCTGAGAGCTATGAAAGTCCCATAATCATCCCCAGTGCACAAAAGGATACAATAAACGTTCATGTAGGGCAGTTACATTTCTGTTCTGCTAAATGAATTGGGATTAAGTATGGAGTGAAATCAGACATTGAGAAGTACTCACTCTTTCATACACCTTAACAAGTCTTCTGAAGACTGTATAGCATCTGGAGGTGCACAAATTGTTTCTTATCTACAGTAATTCTTTAAATCCATATACACAAGAAAATAATGTGTATTTAAATATAGAATAGTATAAACAACCACAAAGAAAGCTGGGAAGACTGATTACAGTCAGCTACAAAATGTTTGATATATATATTTTTTTCATTTCCAGAGCATATATGAACAGTATCTTACTGTAAAATACTTTAATATTAATCAATCAGAAGACATTCTGCATAGACTATGGACATAAACTGCAGAAGAACCAGTCCCAGTGATCATCTTCTGTCTCATTTTGTTATAACAAAGATGCTTTGCATTTAGTTTTAGTCCTAAGAGAGTTTCTAGTTTCTGTTCTTTTTTCATTTAAGTTGATCTTCCTAGTAGGTGATTAGGAAATAGAAATTATGAGCAAAGACTTTTACTGGACAACTAAACATATGTAAAACTCCTTTGATAGACACCTGCTGATCTCTTACTTGCAACAGCACTTACACAGAGACTTAACAATACTTGAATAGTAAGAGAGGGGAATTATGATGAGTACGACTTCATTGGCAAGACACGGAAGAGCCATTAGCAATAAATGCTTTGTGATGGTAGCACACACATTTAAATATAACTTAGGAAAAACAGTATTTAAAAAAATTCAGGCATACAATTTATGGAAAGTGCTTTCTGGAGGAAAAAAAAAAAAAAAAAGAATAAAAAAAGAAAAAAATACAGGAATTTTTACAATTTTTACCTGCACTCACCCACAAAAATTCCCTTTGAAGAGTACAGTCCTATTTGATCGCTGCGTTTGTGTGGAGGCAGAACATTAAGGTATAGCTGGGTATAAGAGGAATGAGCAAGGAATTCACTTTAGAGGATTACATTCCTATTTAGTAAAAAATCCATAATCTTAATCCCTATACGAAATGCAACCATATCTACCTTTCCCCCGGTTCACAGTAAACATCATGGATTGCTCTTCAAAGTAATCACCAACTCTCAATATCTATCTTCAAACCCAGAGCTCAATGAGCAGTTTTCAGTCATCAGCAAGCAGTAGTTGACAGCATCTACAGTGGGAAAACAGAGATCACTAGCATAAATGCTCCCATGCATCATGTTAGGATTGGATAAAGCTCTTGGCTTGGGTCAGATATGAAGGGTTGACATTAACATCCAGATGGACTGGACGGAGTTCATAAGCATCCTAGATTTATTAGAGTCTCCCTGCTAAATAGATGAATTGGGTCTGATCTCGTAGAGAGGGATGAAAATAAAATCCGATGCTTTCTGTAGTCTCAAGCACTTGGCAGATTTAGCCAAAGATGAAGATCTCCTTTTTAGAAATGCTGGGAATTATTCACTCTACTGACTGTTGCCCTTGAGGAATTTAGCTAGAAGGTGCTTATTTAAATAAATATCTCTGTTCAACAACTGTATAAATGAAACCCTTATTAATCAGTGGAGACTATGTCCAGGTTTCTGATCCAGGAGACCAGCACTGTGGCATTGTTCCTGACAGCTGTCTGCACATCATGTGTGGATAGCATGCTGGAGGATCATTTCAGAAAACGTTAGAGCATTTTAAAAAGTTTTCTCTAGCGGACAATTCTTAAAATGTCTGATCTGTGTCTGACCTGACGTTTAATGACTATCACAGGAGGAACTCCTTCTCCAAACAAATGGGAAAGAAAGCAGAAAAAAAAACAAACTTGGTTGGTTCTGTTCACAGCCTTTCAGTCATGCTCCAGCATCTGAAGAAAGCAAGCATCATCTAAGGCGTAATTACATGCCATGAATAAAGCTCTCTTATGGGAAAGAAAATGACCTGTAACTCTTGACCCAGTAACTATTTTAGGTGTTTGGCTGTACATTCCAAACTAACTTGGAACAAGAAGTAGTGGAAATGCACCCCTACCAGCAAGGAGAAGAATTCAAGCGATCAGTTCAGTACTCATCAAAAGCTCAGAAGTACAGAGCGAAGAGGACTCCCCACAGAGGCAGTAGCATGCATGCTCTGCAGGCTTGTCCACTGTGTTAGCCTTTACCATTTCCTGCTCAGGGATTTCAGACCATGCCCGTGCTACATGCTGGGGCTGAGTTCATGGTGCTGAGCAGTGCTTAACATTTCTGTGAGCATGAGAACTGATCATTTATGTTCAATACTGGTAGCTTTTTACCATCTTCTCATTTGCCTGATGTATCTTTTAGACTGAACTGACGCTCTGACAATGTTGGTGTCGTTATGCAGGTATGGATTGATGCAGCTACTCAGATATTTTACTCCTTAGGAGCTGGGTTTGGTGTTTTAATTGCATTTGCCAGTTACAATAAGTTTGACAACAACTGTTACAGGTAAGACAAGCTATTCTTTCTTTACTGCTTCAGAATAATACTCTTTTATTCGTTAAATGCAGCAGGAATAAATGCTAAACTTCAGTCATTAATGATGGTCAGACTTGTGTAGACGTAGCAACCAACTCAAAACTTGAAACAGTCTTGAAATTTTAGCAACAGGGACCTGCCAAGATATCTGCAGCACCGCAAAACAGAGTGGGATTAGAGTTAAGGCTTTGGACAGCTGTGTAAACTGCGCTTGTGTTTGCCTTTCAAACGTACCATTAAGAGCAACAGCGAACAGAGGATTAAAGCTTATTGGTCCAGGCACTAAAAGCAGAAGGACTCCAGTTTCTAGAACTGTTTTAGTGTTGTGTGAGTGTTTCGATATTTTATGTCGAGCTCCAATTTAGGAATGTACTTTAAATCAAGTCAGCTTTTAAGTGTTTTGCTGAATCACCGCCATGGAAATCCAACCAAAGCTGTTCTGCACCTCCTGAGAACTCCCAACGTTTAGAAGTTTTGTTAACATTCCATCTTGGAATGAAAACAAGCATCTTAAAAAAAAAAAATCCCGTGCAATATAAATGCAGAAAGAACACTTATTATAAATACATTGAGAACTGACGGAGAGCAAAAATGTTCCAGTGAAAGGATCACAGAATCATAGAATGGTCTGGGTTGAAAAGCACCTTAAAGATCATCTGCTTCCCCCCCTCCCTGTGCTGTGGGCAGGTTTGCCAACCACAAGACCAAGGATACAAGAGAACATACAAATTTGAACTTTAAATATAAATGGATTGAAACTAAAAGCATGGAATATTTTCACTGACTTCAAAGAACTTTATACTTAACCAGGAGTGACTTTAGATCCCCTTATTGTTTACAGTAGGTGATACTAGCAGGTTTGAGAACCCTTCACCTGGAAGGCTAGCCACAACAATCATCCAAATACCACTTATTGTCTCCTGCAGTTGATTTTGCATTAACTTCACAAGTAGCTTCCTCTATAAAAGTTTTTTTCTTCTATATTCTCAGGAGTTTTACTCTGAAATGGAAAAGTACACTTGAAACTATGAAAATACCAGAGACTATATGTGAAATCATATTATTTAGTTCTTAGCTTGCTAAATTTGTCCAGTGTTACTTGATAAGACCGGCTTTCACTGTCAAATTGTCTAGTGTTGTCAAAGCATACCAATATCCAGAGAACAAAATTTGGCATTTGCCACCTATGTTTCCAGGTAGCATTACTGATGAAAGGAAATATTTACTTTCTGCTTATTGAAGCACCGTTTGGCATCACTAACGTTCACAGAGATATTCCCTCTATTCTAAAGGTCACGTGCAGCAGGCAGCTACTTGTCAGCCATCCTGCAGGTTAGGGAGGCACCTACATTAGAGACCATGGCCAGACTTTCCTCAAGCTATGTTTGGTGATAGGGGCTGTTAATACAAAGGAAAACACATGTCTGTCATAATATTGTGGCAGATTGAAAAAATGATGGCTTTGCTTCAAGAGCCAATTTGGTTTAAAGGTTAAATATTGTACAAATTGATTTAAAAAGTGAGTTGTGGGCTTGTTTTTTAAATGCCTAGCCAGCTTCATAGATGAAGGGGCCTCCTTACAACAGACAACTATCATTAATCTGAGTGGTAACACAGCTTGCTAAAACTGCACTGGAGTTATCTGAAAATGTTCCTGCATATCTGCTCACATGAATTGCTTCTGACTATTTCAAGTATTCCCTAATGAGGCTCTCTCAGGGTACTTCTTTCCTATAGTATGGCTACCAGGATGATGAATTTACTCCTTGGTATCATAATATAGCTTTACTGATTTTCTTTTTGAGCAGAAGTCAGCGTTAAAACAAATTAGGAAACAGAAGTAGGTCATTTCGTAGCGTAGTATGCTGATATGAGCTCTTGATGTTCATAACAATTGCATAATTGGAAACAGTCTTGTGAAACTGCTTTGTAACAATCCCCACCTTAATATTGTTTTCATTTCTACTGGGCTATTTTTCTTTCCATCATTAGGGATGCTTTGCTGACTAGTACCATTAACTGTGTCACAAGCTTCATCTCAGGATTTGCAATTTTCTCCATACTGGGCTATATGGCTCATGAGCACAAAGTTAAAATTGAGGATGTAGCCACTGAAGGTAAGAAGTGAATTTTACACTACTTTTAATCCTCCTTTTCATCCACCATTTCCTTGCAAATATGCTGATACTTGTTTCAAACAAGTGTTAAATCTCATGGAAGTGACCTGTGTGACATTACTTGGAACTAAAACTGTGTGTAGATGCATTGCTGAAATGTGAAGTAAACTGTGTTGATTCATCTCAGCTCTGCTGCATTGAGGTTTCCTAGCACCTTGCCCATCACAAGTTCAGCAAACAGATTTACCACTGTATAGAATCATGGAGGAACGTTGCTCTTTAATGCTATAGGTAAATGTTTCGAGTAGTTCCGGTGAGGTTTGCTGTAGTCTTTTCACTTGTAACAGGTCACCCATGGTCTCATTTCCTACATCTCACTTATCACATCCAAGAATTCTCTTGTCAAACAGCATAGTCTGCACCCACAAGGATCTTCTTCTAATACATAACCGAAAAATATCCAGTAAGACTGTGAATGCCATAAAAGATTATTAAAAATGCAAAAAGAATGTAATGGATTTTATCTACAAAACTGTGATGAGTAAAATACTAATGTACTTTGGATATATTTCTTGCATAATGCAAGTTTTTGTTTTAACAGTTACTCAGAATTTGATGTGGACTGATGTAGGAGTCAACTTAGTCATACCTTATCTCATTAAAATGCACACTTTTATGAAGTTAAGAGACATATTTTTGTATTACTTCTCTTTTTCCTTTCTATTTCAGGAGCTGGTTTAGTTTTCATCCTCTATCCAGAGGCAATTTCAACTCTCTCGGGATCTACATTTTGGGCTGTGGTATTCTTCATCATGCTCCTTACTCTTGGCATTGATAGTTCTGTGAGTATTTTTTCCTTCTAGCCTTGACCATTCTCCTTTACAGTTATAACAGGAAAAGTATCTACCTGAAAGACCCGTTTTGTTGCTTTTCAAATAAACACTGTGTACCCTCCCTGAATCTGCTTTCAGTCACAGCCAACATACCAATGGCATTACTCCTTGCAGTATATTTAATTAAAGGCTCACAATATTGAAAAGGTTTAGGAAGAGATAAAAGTAACTTACAAGCCAGAAAGCTCATCACTTTTTTTTATGACCTTTGAGAAGGGCTGTTCATCAATATTTATTACTATTCCAAGGTATGACCCAACATCGCTGCTATGAACAACTACTACTACGAACCTGCAATGAGATTTTGGACTCTACTTATAAGATACAAGCTGCAGTGTGGCACTGAGGAGTTTCTGGAAGAGATTTTCACATGCACTCAATTGCACTCATCCGCTAAAAATGTCTGATGCTGGCCTGTTTTATTTATTTCTTCCTAAAAGCAGTAATACAGAATTTCCTGTAAATTTAATCAGAATAATTGTATCAGAATATTTCCATGGCAGTTTCATTTCATTATCTTACTATATAAATTCTAACTAATATAAAATGAAGACTGAGAAATACTGAAACACCTGTTTTTACAGTGAGGAAATAAGAATCAGTAACTAGGAATGAAAAAATATGCAGATAAATTCGGTATTGAGTTAAACTTTCCAGCTGTTGCTCAACACTGAAGGAGTACATTTGACCTTTCTACAATATGATGGCTTATACTGTACCGTGATACTCACAATCACAGAAACTTCAGCCTTGCAGAAATTACCCCAAAGGCCTGAAATCTACATCCTGACTCAGAAGTTTCAGCCCAGATTATATCTGGTAGTGTAGCTTAGTCATTTTTCGTGTAGAATTAAGTGTGAAGGATGGAAAGAAAAGATTCAGGTCAATGGAAAGACACGAATGACAGTGCAGAACTGGGAGAAGAAGATCCACGTTTAGATCTAAAATAGTTAATTGTGCAATAGTGGTAAATTTAAGACAATATCTGGAAACATTTGAGTGACAAAGACAAGGCTTTAGATTGTAGAACACACTTTTCCTGCAATCACATAAAGCTCTTTCTTATGAAGTTAAATAAAACACTACGTGCTGTTAAACCGTGGTCAGATTTTGCTCTTTTAATATATAACTGGAGGAGGAAACAAGGAGCAAGGATGCACTTGTTAATGCTTTGTTCAGGAGTATTTTTAATCACCATTACTGAAGAAAATTCAGATTGTCCAGTATCTTTTATCGTGGTCTTTTCAACTCTCTCCCTGATCAAGTACCTCGAGGGGAAATTAAAAAATTTTGAAGATAAAAATCAAAGAATCCCAAAGCTGTAGTTGAATAATTATATACAAACAGTTTTATAGGCATATAAACCTGCACTGGCACAGAAATATACAGCCATCTGTACAAAAACAGAACTGTCAAAATGTTTAAGCAAAGAGAAATCTGATCATGCAGGTTTTAGCAAGCAACAATGAAAGGAGAAGAAATGGAACAAATGTTTGCAAACACTTTTTGGAGTATGTATCTAGCTTGACATGGGAGATTAACAAATGGAATAAACAGTGACACATTAAGAATTGGTCCTTAGCCAAAATAATACAAACCATCTTTTTCCACTTCAACTTTACCACTGTCATTATAGCATCAACACAGTAACAATTTCTAAGCACATCAAATAATACCTCCTCTTAGCTGCACAACACTCACTGATGCCCCCAGAGATTAGGAAGCACAAACCCACACCAGGTTTTGCAACACTTTTTGTGAACATTAATTATTTTTGGAAAAAAGCTTCACTGCCCTCAGCAACTTGGCTGACTGAAATCATCCATATACTAGAGAGACAGCTCTGCTACTATTGGAACCAGAGATGCTGATTTCACCACATTATTACCAAAGGAATCTTAAGGAAAGCGGCGGATTGTGTCAATACTTCTTGACTCCTATACTGCACAAAGCACTCCAGGGTTTGCCATGATCTTTTGACATCAGAAAACACACAGCATCCAGCCTCCTCAAAAAATGATGAAGTATTAAATAAATGCATCATGACAGGAAAGAGGAATTAATTTCCCCATAGCTTCTCTGTGGAGAAGGGGCAGAATTTTCTTAGTGGAAAGAAAATTCACAGCTACCTATATAACACAGCAATTGCAATGAAAACTTGGAAAGATATTTTCCAAATCAAGCTCAGAATTGACTTCTAGGAAACAAAATAATTTCATATTATCAACAGAAAAATAAGATCAAACTTCTTATATAGTGAGCCTTCCTAAACATTTCTGTCTAACTGGATTTGATTAATCAATGGCTAAACTCAGTCTGTGTTCAGTGCCTTTTTCCTGGGTGTGAACTGCATCTTTCTCTGTACACAAAAAAATCTCTTAAGTAATTTAACTTCTTAAGATAAAACTTCTTCCTGAGCATTATTAAATGGATACTATTTTTCCCAAAGTAGCATCTTGCTATCTTATTATCCTGGTGGAGAGAGCAAATTGTCAGCAGAGGGTATGGGAAATCAAGCCAGCAAGCATGGCATTGGATGCTCAATTCCCTCACTCAGTTCTCTACCTATGACAATAGATTCTACCTCAGAAGGCCAGTGATGTGCATATGAAATGTCAGAAATCATGCAGTGGTTGGGAATTCATTACATAAGCTATTTACAGTCTTTGTGCATAAAACTTTTCGGTACTGTTTAACCAGAGCTTCTGCCTTCCCTTCCTAGATGGGTGGAATGGAGGCTGTCATCACTGGCCTGGCAGATGATTTCCATATTCTGAAGCAGCACAGAAAGCTCTTCACCTTTGGAGTTTCATTTGGCACTTTCCTTCTTGCCCTTTTTTGCATCACCAATGTAAGTACAACAACAGTTTCCATCACAAGATACCTCAAAAATAGGGTTAACCTCACCAGATGGACATAGAGAGGCTCAGGTGACTGTAATCTAGTTATAGACAAATTTTAATTCTTAAACAACCTCATGGCCAGAGTATTATTATTAGCCTTACCTACATGATAATTCTCTGCTCTTTTTAGATGAGATTATTAGCTATCAACTAGACCTACAAGCCTCTACTCCAAGGAAACTTTTGTGCTCCTAGCGTTATGTGGGGCTTTAAATGAAATTACATTGAGCAATTAGTTCCAATCCGAGGAATTAAAGATTTCAAGTGACCAGTCCATCAGATATTTGGTTATTGGATTTTTGGGTTCTTTTGGTTGGTTTGTTTTTTTTTTTAAGCAAATCAGAAGCATTTACTTCACATGAGACGAATTTGGAGCAATGATCTCCTTAGCCTCGTGTGTTTCTTAATGTTTTTCAATCTAAACTCTTATGCTTAACACCATACAAATCATACAGACTACTGGATGTTCAGCTGTAGTTTTCACCACCATTACTCTGAGGATTTTTTTCTCTTGAATGCTTTGCTTCACCAGGCTTTTGACAGAGTACTAGGTTGGATGACCTTCAGTGAGAACACCTTATGATTTTTGCCAAAAAAAAGAAAAACATTCTGTAAGCGAGATGTCAAGACTACCAGAAAACAAGTGAGATGTGAGGTAGCCACAGTGAAAACAGATGTGCTGAACTTCTCTCCCTTCATGGAAACAGTCATCAGATCAATTGTTAGAACTATTGAGATGGCATTCGTGTGTAACGAACCAAGATCTATTTATGCTAAAAAATACCCCAACATTTCCAACCTTATTGTATCTGTCCTTTTACTATCGTGCTACCTCTTATTGTTAACTAAAGACTTGATTGCATTCTTCTTCATCCTAAATTGCAACTGAGAAGAAACTTCTTTTCAGTACAAACTCAGTGGCTGGAAACACAGACAGGTGCCAACAGGTGCAACCCCACTGTCTTCAAGCAGGCTAAAGCAGTTCAAGATGACAATCTGGCTCTAGCTGTCACATTATGACACCTGCTTGGAATTAAGATCTCTCCACCAAATGGAATGCACTAAGCTGCCCAGGCTTGTCCAAATGCAATGGTGTGCATAACTGAAGACTACTTCTAATGTGTACAAGCTACTGAGAAAAACCCTTGTGATAACATCACATTGTTTGATTTCATCCTCCGGAAATTTGAGGCTGTATCCTCAAAACATGTTTCTAACAAAACTGTTATTCACTTTGCTAAGCTTTGATAGCAAAGGCATTCATTTAGAGCAAGTGTAGAACAAAAACAAGAGGTCAAACTGAAATGCCATTGAATAAGCATTTTCTAACACAACAATCAAAGTTCATTCAGTTTCCCGACATCCCCACAGAATTAAAAACCTAGACAAGGCCTAAGTACTGTTTTCTCTACTCTTGCAAATAAGCACAGCTGTTCTGGAAAACCATGAAAAAATAAAACTGAGACTGCACAGATTAAAACCATCTAGAGATCTCCGTAGTACAAAATTTATACCAGTGGGAAAAACAGAGAATTATACTTTTGTTCCCCTCAATTCTGAACAGGTGTAGGCAACTTAAATTTGATTGTGAAAAAAAGACTTTAACAGAAATATACCGTGAAATGAAAATTTTTAGTAGCTTATATTTGACAAAGTATATTCAGTTGAATTCTGAATCCTGTTGAAACAAGTAAACATCCCATGCTTTTCCACTCCTCTTTCGCTCAACTTCCATAAAATGAGCTGTAATTTGAACAAATTTGTACCAGTTTGTAGATCAAGAAAAAAAGTTGTCAAATTGCAACTTCAAAATTAAAAATAAAATCAGCGGAATAAGAGTTTAGTAACTGCCATTGCAGTTCTCAGCCACAAGCCACTGAAGATCCAAAACATTCTGCAGAACAGGAAGATGAGCTGGGCTGCTCTCCTCACTTGGGGGGGAGCTTGCCAGTGAAATTGCAGGGAAATCACACGGCTCAAAGCTGCTCCCACAGGCTTAGCGTGCAACTGCTCCCTTCACAGGTGTTGTGGAAAAGAGATATCAATCTAACACAGATTCATTGGACTACAGCCCTTGGGAACAAAGTGAGCAATAATACCTTGTGGAAACTCTTGCAGCACTCCATTCCTGCCCATAATTTCAGAAGCTTTTCATTAGGGGCTCAGATAGTCCTACAAACTGCTGAGCATTCCCTCAAACTCCACTCAAATGCCACAAAAAACACAGTGTTGAGCACACTCTTTAATCACGTTGTACGAGGCTTCTCTTTCAGCAAGAACACGGGTGAAAGGGCAGTTCATTAAAAAGGTTTCAAGTCTGATTTCACTATGCTGTATGTACACATGCACCCATGTCTGCAGTACCAGTACTAAAATGCTTGGGTTAAGAGATTTTAAGTAGAGCATATTTCTGTTAACTTGTTACTGAAGTACCGAAATTACTCCACTTGTAACTTTGGTTTATTGCATCTTTTAACTCCTGCATGCTAGGGTGGAATTTATGTGCTCACACTTCTGGACACATTTGCAGCTGGGACTTCAATATTGTTTGCTGTTTTAATGGAGGCGATTGGAGTTTCCTGGTTTTATGGTAAGAAATTAATTTTACTGTCAACAGCACTGTAAATATTTTGGAAGTGTGATTTAGAGGAGCCCCTCCTTTGGATGGATAAGAGAAATATATTCTGGAGTGCAGTATTAATCACAAACTTGTCATGAGCTCTATAATCCATGTAAGACTGAAAATCTTGTATCATACCTAAGTCAACTTCTTTCAACAGTCCAAACTATCAGCTGCAGATAAAATCTCTTGATGCTAGATTGATTTTCCTAAACTGTTATTTTTCCTCCTTTTTTTCACTCAGTGAAGTCTCTATTGAACTAGCTGCCCTAATTCCTAGTAAGGTTGTTCTAGACCTGAAAGTCATATTTATTTCTATTCAGAGACAATGTTTATAGTTAATATGACTCAGATCTGAGCATGATCATCCTCACTGCCATTTCCCTACCTCAGTTACTGATCTATCTCACCTATACTACACCACTATATTCTTCTAGTCATCCTCTTACAATTAAAAGCTGTTGACGTGTGCACGAAGCATTCATGTCTAAAGCTGTTCAACTAAAGCTTGAAAGCTTTTTCTTCTGTAAAAGTACTGACTTTGTCACCCAGTGTCACTGTGGAGCTAGCAGTTCTTACACTGTTCTCTCAAAATATACGAGGACACAACAACTGTTTTTGTCCCTATAAAAAGAGCTGAATGCAGAAGAGTTAACTTAGCTTGGAAGCTGACACATGACAATATTGTTAGATTAGTAAAAGCAAGTTATTATCTGCCACTCTCAAACTAGGATTTATTGTGTTTTACAACAGCTAGGCTTTGGATGTGATTCCCAGGCTAAACCAAGCTCAGCCAGGCTTTGTGTAAACATTGCAACTTCTGCCCTTCACCATCCTTTCCCTTCTCCCTCCTGCCTCCCCCATAATCAAGAAAGCATCTATTCCTTTGTCTTAAGCAGCTGACAGATACTTTTACTGACACAATATGACCTGTTGCTTTATAACAAAGAACTCTTTGCAGCCCCAGGTCCTGTTTTTAAGACTTTGACTGATTAAATCTGGCATGGCCTCATCTACCTCTTTTTCCTGATAGACCCCAGTTGCCTTGATGACCCAGCAAAACATTAAGCCAGCCTGAAGGCAAGCACTGACATTTTGGCAGAGATAAAAACGTGGAAAATCTTACATTAAGTTCAAATTATTACTATGCTCACTTATTGTGAAATCTGTTGCAAAATACACCTGAATGCATAAGGGAGAAGGGAAAGCAAGTTCATTTTAATACAAGGAATGTGTTAGTTGTAACTGTTACCATTTTTCCTCTTGTGCAAACCTAATATCATCATAGGTTCTAAACTAATTCAAAATTCCTTTTTTCTTACTACTTTCTTATTTCAGTGCAAGTTCACTTGATTTTTTAAATTCATTTAAATCAAATACATGAAATTCAAGGCATTACTATTAATTTTTACCTTCCAAATGAAAAATAATCATAAGCCAGGCTTGTGAAAGAGAACTACATAGGAATACAGAGTTAAACAAGACAGAAGTGGTAAATACAACATAGAATGAATGCTTGTAAGGCTCTGATCATCTGCTGAAAGTATTTCACCACTTTCTGAAAACATGCCAATAAAATATTTCAGCTATGGCCACTGAAAAATTTCACCTCCGAGCCAAGGACCTGCTTGAGAGCTTCTGTGCAATTCACATTGCTTTGCCTGCACAGCAAAATGACTTACAGAGCTCTGTCGTGTGGCCACTGCAGAAAGCACTGGCAATGTGTCGACTTCCATTCTCTCTGTACTCTGGTCTCCGCATCATCAATGAGAAAAAAAGAATGCTGTCCCATCCTAGGAGGAGCATTTATAGCCAAATCTGTTTCCCACCTTCTTGCTCATCGTTCTTTTTCCATGTTGATTCCATTGGCAATATAACATGACATACATAGAGAGCAGGTCAAATTTTCTGTACTGTTTAACAGAAGGTTGCAGTAGAGACATTCCCAAGCAACTGCAAAGTTTATTAGTTCAGAAATAACACTTTCATTCCCTTTGGATTTAGTGTATTTAGTCATGGGGCTGGTCGTAGACTGTATGTATATCTTTCTTGTTTTTCACTGGAAAATGAAGGAGATTATTCTCATACCTCACACCAGTTCTCTGGCAACTAATCTGGAGTTTTGTTTGCAGTATCAGTTTCCTCCTGCGACTGAAAGAGTCACTCATAGTTTAGGTATATCCTTCTGAGTTATCCTACGGGATCACCAAACAACTGGAAGTGAGCAGCCCCACTAGTAGATAAAGCTAATTTCCACTTCACAGGTTGGTTCTTAGAATCATTTGAAGACTATGATATTGAAAAAACATGCTGTTGAAAAAGCAGCCTGAGAATAGGGCCTACTTATACCCCACTTTCAGTAAACATTGGACAGAAAATACTGTTCGAACTGTGAGTACATCTGTCTGGAATCTAAAAAAAATTTATTCAGATAACCTAATCTAGTCCTAGTATTTGACCTTCTGTTCAACAACAAATTTCAACTCTTAGTATCTGAAGCAGCTGAAATTCAGTCACTTTGAAGTTCACAGAAGGCACTGCAAACAGAATCAGATTGAGTTCAAAGAGCATTTACAGATCCTTTCTTAAATTTGACTACTTTGCTTCACCTGTATGTAATACTGGGAGGCAGTGGAGGAGGAGGTTCACAATGAGACAGAAGTTCAAGAGTCCAGACCTTGTAAATAAATATCCCTGGCTCCTGAGGGAATACTTGAGCTGCCCTCATTATTTAAGAAACACTACTAAACTGGTCCACACAAAGAGAAACTATTATTACAGCAAACAATACACCATCTCTATCAAATGACGAGCCACTCACAAAAAGCCTATTCTATTTCTACTAAAAGTGCTAAAGTGCTTATACATGTAATTCATGACACTCAATGTAAATCTGTAAAGGAATTAGGAGACTGAGTGAAATGTCTTTACTTCCTTCCTGAGGACACATCAATTCCACAACAGTAAGTAACTTATGGTAGCAAACTTGTTTTTTTACCTTGTCCTGAGTAGAACCAACTGTTTCAGTGTGAATTGCCTGTCTAGATGGTGTTGTGAATGAGTCTACAAGGTCAAGTGATCTTCCTTTCTGTGTTGGCTGCAGGAAATTTTCTACTGCAGCTATTTACATTGTACTCATATTCGTCCAAAAAAGGGCTTCCCTTTACCATCGTTACAGCTGTTAATACTCAGACTGTCAGAAGTACTAAGTACCCACATATGTACCAGCATACATCCGAAATCTCAGACTATATGGATTCAAAGAACACTAAAGACTGAAAAGCTGGCACTTGGTAGCTCTTCTCCCCTCTGGCCAGTACGTCACAGTTGCTGAAAATGTTATTGTGGTGACTCTGTTTCCCTATATTTGTGATGCAGTGAATCCCACTGCAGGTAGATACACAGTTGTGAATGGAGTGGTATTAGAGATTTTTGCTAGCAAGTCTTGTGCACTACTTCATGCCTGCTAAATGTACTGAGTCTTGTAAAGAGACAATATCAAGAGCTGCTGGTTTATTTTGCACATATTTACACTGAACAGAAGAAGCACCTGTCCATTTCCTTGGAAAGGTGATAAAAATGAAATGACATTTGTCATTATGTAATTAAAAATCTGCAGCATTTAATGAAACTGAAAAGTTAGTAAAGCATGCCACTAACCAGAACTAATACAACTTCCTTTGAAAAATTATGAATCATACAAATCTACATCAATATCAGAAAGCAGTTTGTGTAATATATATACACTCACAGTAGTGCTGAATAATTAGGTTACAATAGTCCACAACTATTACAAAAAATGTGTGAAGTCCATAAATCAAGTGCCAGATGTTTGTTAAGCTTATCTTTCCAACAGTAATGCTATTTGTGACAGACTAAGTGCTCACAGGTGCTTAATTCTTGGACAAAAGTAGGCTGCTCTGAAAGTAATGCCTCCTATTTGTTTCCATAGAAACTACAACAGATACAAAGAGCATAATAATGTTACTGGATAGAGCAAGTTCTCAGCTACAAAACACTATTTTTCAGTATAGTCACCACCGTAGCCAGTTTGCATGGATGAGCTGATCAAGACAATTTTCATTTTGTGGTGGGAAAGCTATATGTGGCCACCCAAAAAATGGCTTATCCTTTATGTTGCGGTCATCACTGCTGAAATGCACACCACCACTGGTTGGTCTCCATAAACCTTCAGCAAGTGTTGATGAATGTCAATGGGGACCACTTCTTCTACACAGAAGAATTCAGTGACACACTTTCATTTCCTTCACGCTTCCATGCCAGACATCATTCTGTCAGAGTGCCCCTCTGCTGCCATCTGTCACACAGCAGCAAGAAGTAACAGAATACTGGCGGGAAAGTTCAGCTTCTTTTGCCATACCGCCATCATCTGCTGTGATGTTACGGGCCAACATAATAAACTAGGGGGCATTGGTTTCAGAGCAATCCTCATAGTAATATCAAAGATGCATCTATTCATTGAAAATCAATCAATTTAGTCTTGTACTTCTCTCTCATTTGGAAGTCTTTCTAAAATAAGATTGGTATTTTGGGATAGGCCAGCACCTCATCAGTTTAGATTAATGCCAGTCTGATCTCCACATCCCTTCTAGGTGTGGACAGATTCAGTGAAGATATCCAACAAATGATGGGCTTCAAGCCAGGCCTCTACTGGAGACTGTGCTGGAAGTTTGTTAGCCCTGCTTTTCTGTTGGTAAGTGTTGATTGTTATTTCATTATCAAATAACTGCCAGCACGTCTTTCTTAGAATATCCAATAGTTATCAATCTGAGGTGGTTCTTTTATGCCTGACACTCTCAGGGTGAATACAATTTAATTACTTCCTCCCCTCAATGGCACAGGTTGTATTTTGTGCATAACATTTTGCTTGTTCAGGAGAAGCTAATTGTGGCTGTGGTCTTCTTCTGTTCCCTCACTTCTTCAAGATGTAAATTAAGCAAGTTTTCTTAGAGAATACTAAAAACACAGCTAGATGCAGTGTGCTCCCAGCATCTATGGACAATAAAAACATATTTCTGTTGCAAAAATAAACTAGCCAGGGATAAGAGATTTTACTAGGGCAAAAGGCTGAGCATATGTGATGTACCTGAAGTCAACAATGTTGAATTTCCCTTACTACTAAAGCTTTACATAATTTTATTTCCTAATGATAGCAAAGTGCATCTGAATGTTCAGGTTCATCACCCCTCCCCATTCTCCTTTCTGCTACTATGGATTTCAGTTTAAAACTGCAACCTCCTGTAGCTGGCCTCATCTTTGAAGCAGGATTAAAAGGGTAATCTCAAGAAAGTTCAATGCAGAAGGCCTCAAAACTGTATGAAATTTTTAGTGAAATAGAAAAATAAAACCTTAATGAAATGACACTGTTTTATACCAAATCCAATCAGACTGTTTTTTTGGAAGGCACCAATTTAAAAATGTTAAGAAAAATATTAAAATAGATTCACACATAATTAAAGCAACCATTGCCAGCCTTCCCTAATTCCAGTAATAAGATGTTTTGCAGACTCTCCCTGGGGTTCTGTGCTTACTGAAACCACGTTCAATCTGCTTTTCCGTAATTCTGGCTCTGTTACTTGTTTCTGTGCATTTGATCTTCAGCGCCAAGGCTCACTCATTCTGATTTTATTAGATATGTCAAATCTAACTTTTAATTTAAACTCTGTCTTTCCAAGAAGAGATGTATTGGGCATCAAGTTTGTTTCCAGACACTCAGGTTGATCAGGATTGCAGATCTTTTTCTTAAAGACAAATAATACAGCCTTTGCCTCCATGCGTTGAATCACCATAGACACAACTGTATATACTCATTTTCCCATCTTGACACCTGGCTACTGCAAATCTTTCACTCCTCCAGAAGCAAAGTATCATACCAACAGCTTAAAACCATCTACTAATGATTACATATAGCAGTTCAGGAAGATGAAAACATGTCAGAAGTTTTTACTTACTACTAGATTTCACTTCTCTCTTCTCAAGTATATATTACACATACCACTTCTTAAGATAGAGATCAGAGCAACATGCTCAGAAACACTGATTAAAAATCTCTGCATTTGTAATACATCTATTAGAACACATCTTTCACTGGTAAATTATTTTATTGGAGGGCACCAGGATTCCCACCAAGATAGGATAAGACCTTAGAATAAGTCGCATGCAATTATACCCATTAATTATGTTGAGCAGATGTATTAATTATACCTTGTAAACCACTTGATCTGTAATGAAACAGTTGTGCTTTTCATTTAGGAAAAAAATATCCTGAAGTGTCAATATATCCTTTCTTTGCTCTGTGTAAAGTTCAGATTCAGAAATAATTGGTTTTGTGTTGGGATCATTTGCCGTGCGTATTTGTAAATCAAGACATCAGGGTGAATAGAATGAAAATTTGATCTTGCTATGATTTAAGGAGACTATTAATTGCATAAAAGCTTTATATTCTTAGAGCACTGTTATACAAGTTTACAAAAAACCAAAAACAATGTATATAGTTCATAACAAATTGGAGAAGACTATAAAATCGTAAGATTGCAGTATAATTATTCCTTTAACAATTCCATATTTTCCTACCACAACTTGTCCTTGTTTGTGACCGGTAGCATGCTACAAAAGTTTCTAACAATAAATACAGTTCTCCCTAAGAAAGGCAAGTTGGGGTCATCCAGATAACTGGTGTGTGGAAACATCTCCTTGAAGCATTTTCTCCATACAAACTGCTGCTGTGTACATCACAGCAAGGAAATCTCATAAGGAAATGAACATTTGTCTAGGAATTTTATACTGTTGGTTTCCTTTAACTCATACACTCCTTGCATAGCCTTTGAAATCCTAAGTTCAAAATTCTACAGCTTGAAACTGGACATGGAAGAGAACGTGCAGGCCCAATAAACCAAATCAAGGAACTCTGAGGAGTACACAATCCATATGGATTTAACAAGAAAACAAAATGAAGGAAATAGGGTGGTACCTTAATCTTTCCTTCTCAGTCCTGGTGTTGGATAGGGTAGCAGCAGGAGGAAAAGAAACAACAAACGAGAACAAATTAAAAAAACAAAACAACAACAACAAAACAGGCAAATAAACAAAAACATAAAAATCAAACACCTTTGTCTTCCAGGCCTTAAGGCTGTATGGCATTTCCCTCACTAAATGAATTGTGCTGGAGTTCACGTCATGATTCTCACTGGAAAACAGGTATAAAACTCCTAAGAAAATAAAACCTCTGAGAAGCAGGAAAAACAAGAGATCCTGAAGAGGTTTTTCTTAATTACAGATTTTTGTTTTTATTCCTTTAACGCTAATTTAAGTGAGGCCATAGTGGACAACAACTCAATCTTCCCCGTAAAAGATCCAGCAGTCAGTGTCCAGAGCAGCTGAAATGAACTGTTAATCTCAGCAAACGCAGCATGAACTTCAACAGCGTAAGCAGTTAGAGGCACAAAATAAATAGGATGAAGGTAAATGGTGAAGCCAACTTTAAATACTCCTTAGGGTGCTTGCCTAATCAAACACACAAAATCTGTTTTCCACTAAGTTTCTTCATGTCTCAAAGCAATGGTTGATTTTATTTTTTCTCCCCTAGTTTGTTGTAATAGTCAGCATAATAAACTTCAAACCTCTGACCTATGATGACTACACCTTCCCTCTCTGGGCAAATCGCATTGGCTGGGGAATAGCATTATCTTCAATGATACTTGTGCCTGCCTATATTATCTATAAATTTGTGAATGTGCGTGGGACCTTTAAAGAAGTAAGTGAAATGCTAATAAAATGTCATTAAATGTTGCTCTGAAATGAAATGGCTGGATCTAATGTGACAGTTTGTTTCTCTTGCTCCCCAAACTTATTAGTTATGAGTGACCTTTTGGATTCAGTTTCTGATGCACTGGGGGTTTACTGCATCCTTTCCCTGTTTCTAGATAGAAATTTTCTTTACAGAAAGCATAATTTTTTAAAACTGATTTTTGATACATGTAGTTAACCTGATTGATGAGAAAAAGTATTCCTCATTAACAAAAAACGTACAAACTACTATCTTTATATTTGGTTCTAAGTTATAGTCTTCACATAGTTACAAACTAAACCATGTCCAAGGTATCACGCTGTGCTGTGGTAGTGTTATAAACCATTATGTGCAAACATAGTTAACTCGGACCTCTCCTATCATAGAGTCTACATCAGTCTCTAAACACAAATCTACATGCTGGGAAGGCAAGATGCATCCTCAAAATAGCTCCACATTCAGGATTGCCATTGATCACGTAATAAGCATCCAGCAATAACAGTAATAATGCTTTACTGGATCAGAGCAATAGATTCCACTTTGCCCCGTATTTTGTCTTTAACACCAGCTACTTAGTATTTTAATTTCTGTCAGATATGTTCCCTTATCCTCTCCTTAGTGGAGTTGCTTCTATCTTTTGCTAGGGTTTGAACTCATGCAGATCTTTTTATTATTTTCAACACATCAAGGTGCTGAAACAGATCCAGAAATGAAGAAGCACTTCTAAATCCTATACTAAAAGGCATTGCTTATTGTATCATCATCCAGCCTCTTACTTCTGTACTTCAGTAAATGAACCATGGCACTCAGCAGCAGGATCCTCCACTATGTAAACCCACTTAAGCCATAACATAGATGCTGCATGAACTGAATAGAGCAAAACCTGAAGGAGTAACAATTTGTGACCATCTTATTAAAAGCAGCGGTATAACAGAAAGGCACTTAATTAAAGAAATCCTATTTCTAATGAATTTCCTAGCAGTACAAAGTTTGACAAAATGCAGCCTTAATAGTGTGAGTTCCGGGGACATAAAGCCTGCGGTACCAGCTTGTTCCTGGTGTTCTTTTCCATATGCACTTGCTAAATATTTGGACTCAGTATTTGCATAAACTTTCTACTCTGTCTTATATTAAATGCTAATATCAGGGGGCTTACAAGCAGCTTGATCTCTCAGTGACTAAGTTAAAGACACATGATGCAGTGATATTAAACATTTAAGTTACGGCTTTAAATAAAGTTCACACTTTCCCATTATAGGTTGGGGTTTACAGACATAATCCCACTTCATATGGCTGACTTTTTTCTCTTCTCTCTCTGGTTTAGAGACTAGCTTACTGCATCACACCTGAAAATGAACATCAGCTCGTGGCCCAAGGAAACGTCAGGCAGTTTAAGGTTTGTACTCCTTTCACTGTGCTTTGTCTCCTTCCTGCCTTTAGCAGGGTTTGCATCAGCCTCCATATGGCAGATGTCCACAGGTCTGCGGTCTTTTATTTCTGCCAGCATGATGGGATGCAGGAGGCTCAGATCTCTGTGTACCTATTGCTGTTCGGAGGTTTTTGGCACCCTCCTTCCACTCCATAATGAAATAGCTAAGCAGAATTGATAACGTTACAGATCACTTCAATCCAATATCCTAGGTCATATATCCGAGTACAGCAAAATCTCACCACAAGATGAATATGTTACCAGACTATAACATGTAACTGAATAGGTCACATCCTCTTCCCTGGTTATTACACAGCAATCTAAAATCAGATTTTCTAATCTCCATCAGAGATTATCAGAGAATAGGGTAAAAAAAGCAACCAAACATCCACTGTCAGTACACAGACAAAATAATGGTCTGAACTACATGGAATGGACTGCCCACAGGTATACATTTGATTGAAAATACTGCTGGACACTTCTTAAGCAGCCATGAAATACATCCTATGTTTCCAAATACTGCTTTCCTTTTAGTAAATAAAATGGCCTTATTGAAATATAGTTCTTTTCATAGAAGATAACAAGGATGCAAATATGAAACTTGTTACTGTTATCAGCATTCATGTTGGACCACTTTCTGGCTTCAAAGTTGAAAGCAACTACAATTATGCACACTACCTCAAAACATGACCCAGATATTATAGTGGGGGTTTGTACACTGATATTGAAAAAAGAAATCTGCCTTTTGCCTGCTCTGAAAAAATATTGAAAAAAATACTGTTTGAAGTATATTTTTTAATTTCAGAAAAAAAAGAATCCAAGTGTAGATTCACAGAGTACAGAAAAAGAAAAAAAACCCTGCAGTTTCCTGTTTTGTGAGCACTGTGTATATAACGTGGCCAAGATTGTGCAGTAACACAGCACCTCTTCATTCCTTCTCATTACTCTATTTCTGCCCTCAGTTATTCAAAGATTTTTCATGTTCCAGCTGTAATAACATCATTTTTATACAGTCAAATGTTCCTACATGAATAGGGAGATAGGTAGTGATTGCTACACTATACTTCTGACTCCAAGTAATGGCAAAAAAAGGAAGCAAACAGATTTTGCTTAAATTAGAAAAATATACTTTGAAGCAAATCCCTAGTGATCCCTCAAAGTATGCCAAAGACCAGGGCACATTATATTAACTTGTTGGCGCCTTCGCTATACAGCTAGGAATACGTTTTATGGCTAGTTCAGAGTTGTCTCCATAACACTGACCAACCAAAAAGCACAGAAGCTTTCTTCACATCAGCACTCAGCAGGTCTGAATTTTCAAACCAAGCTGAAAGCTTATCCCCATTTATCCCAATTTAACAATTCTTAAATTCAGCACATTTCTCACTGCTGACTAGAATCCACAGAAACCCATCAGTAGATTTAAGACTTTGTGATTCTGTATTTGTCAACAACGCACTTAAAATATCTTTAACTATTAAGCATCTCTTGAATCAATGTTATTAAACAACCACTTATGTTCCCTTGCAGCTTCAACACTGGCTAACAATATGACAACCAACAGGTTGAGGGAAAAAAAAAAAAACAATGTTAAAGCTAAACTGGGAATACAGAAAAGTCAAGTTCAAAGCTCCCTCAATGATGCTTGGACCAGGCTGGCTCAGAGCTTACCTACTGACTCTTTGAGGGAAGACGTCTGCTCTCTGTTCTCAATGCCTCCCTTCTATTACTTGGCTTCAAATGATCTTTAAAGACTCTGTTTATTTTTTCTTGTATCTTTTGGTGCCATGAGATCCCTACGTGACCAAAACTTGTGAGTTTTGCTATTAGCAGAAGTGGAGGAGGGGGGAGTAGAGAAAAAAAAGCAATCACAGTACATTAAATGCTCCTTTATCATGAAGAAGCAAATTCAACTTTTCTGACAGTAATAATTACTGCAGATACGATCTGATTTAAACCAAGAACTGAATGTTCTTAGATCTAAGAAAGGGTACATCTCAATTGTGAGGAAAGAGCAACTTTACCTATGTATTAATGTCATTAGCTTTCTTGCCATGCTATCCTTTGGGATATGAGTTTGCATCCTTCTGAAATGAAGACTCAGTACTTCATTTTCAGTGGTTTGTTATTAATTTCTTCTCTTGGTGAAGAAGGTTGTCTTTACTGTATATGTCTGTGCCATTTCCTGTCCATTTAATCCTACAGGCTGAGAAGTAGCAGGAACAGAACCCTTGTAGGAGCTACTAAGTACAGAATCCAGTTTAATATCACACTGTACTTAGTGAAAATATATTATGACAACAATTAAAATGGCTTTATCATATGATCCATACTTTACTGACTTTTTCAGTTAATTGTAAAACATTTCATACAAATAGTCATACATCCAACTTTTTGTTTTACTTTGTGTCAAATAGAGTAGCATATATAAAATACATAGAAAGAGATAATGATTTTTAGAATTATTTAAATCTACCCAGAAGCACCAAAATACCAAACTTTAGTTTTATTCTTCTATTGTAAGCAAAGCGTTATTATTATTATACTCTTACTGGATTCACCTACCAAAACATAGCAAGATTGTACTGAACAGCTTAGAAGGATAAGTCTATTCCTGCTCTTCTCTGGTAGCATTATGCAAGCTAAAAGAGAGAGAATAAACTCTGCATCTGGGTGCTGTTCTCATTCTGTGGCACATACCACTGTAGCATTTTCCCAGTGATCAGTAGATGTGGTTGCTCAGTTACTTCCTGCAGTTATTTATTACTCGATAAGCTTTTTCAGAAGCTGTAGCTTCTCAACTGAATCCAGCCTGGAGTTTACCTCTGGACTTTACCTCTCGTATTTTTTTCTTTTTGTTTTGTTTTGCCTCTGTATATTCAGTTCAGCTTCTTTTCTTTAAACGTATGTAGTGCTTCTTTTTAAAGAGATCGCTTTAAAGGATGGAGCTTTTTTTTTTTTATTTATAAACCAATTGTTGGGGGTTTCTGTGTTTTTTTTTCCTCCCCTATTCTTAAAATAGTCCAATTTAAAAGCCCCAAGCGATTTTAGCCTTTTTTATTTAGCTTCGATTTCTCTTCAAAATAACAGTAAGAAAACTTCTCTCCTTATGCATCCTTTTCCTCCAACAGAATCGATACTTTGGAAAGGATTGAGCACGATCTCTTCTTCTTAAAGAGATTGTGTGACAAAGCAGAGGTTTTATTTAAATATGGCTTTGAATCCAAAGGACACTGTCTACTACTTCTAAAGGCAGACGCTTTCTGGCCCAGCTGATGGCCAATAGTGGCTTAAACCATGTTATTAAATATATTTCAATAATAAAGGAGTTTCAAAAGGCTGCTGTTCTAGTTCTGTAATTAAGTGTCAATTGCTCCAAAGAACAGGGGAAAAGGAAAAAAAATACAACCCACCATTCCACCAGCTTTGTAGGTAATCCCTTTTTTATTGTTTGCGAAACTAGAGGGAGATCTTTTAATTGTTATAAAGCTTACTTTTCAATACAGCTGCTTCAGTTATTGGATCTGCGAGGTTCAGAAATCTAACAAAGTTACCAAGTTCCAAAACTCTTGGAAGGCTCTTTGATATGGAGCTTTAACAGCTACTCACATCATTTATGGTTTTGCTCACGTCTGTAAATGCTAACAACCTGCACCAATGCTCACTTGTAAGACACCCCACTACCACTCACACAGAAAATGTTGTTTCATCACCAGTTGGCTCTGAAATAGGTCAAATTTATTTTACGGAGGGTGAAATAAGCTGCATCCAGCATTTCAGGGTTTGACTGCATTTTAAATACCAACTTCCAAGGTAGTGATCCACTTCATTATTTTTATTGCTGTTATTGCTTAACTTCTTAAGTTTACTATAATACTTAGAGCACTTAGAGGACTCCACTGCACCGTTGCCACCTTATTCTGTACTTTGACAGACAAAGCTTATCATCTAAACAGAAAACAGGGAAATCAGAGAGAGAAAGAAATCTATTACCAGGAATAGCGCTAATGAAGAAGATAGTTCATGATGCATTGCACAGCTCGGCTTTAAGTTCAAGATTTTGTCCAGAGAAAGTCTCTCCAAAATGACAGCTTCTGTCCTAGAGATGGAGAGCAACGTTCTTGATTCCCATAGAATAAGATGCTCAACTACCTCATGCCTCCTTGATGATAAATGATGCTGTTAGAAACAAACTAATATCCTTTCAAGTAACAAAAAAGCTTTAAGGAGACTGGGTATATAAAAACAGGCAAAACTCTGGTACTCAGCTTCTTTCAGACTCCAGCTTTGAGCTCCCTAATACATTTTCAATACTGAAAATATCAAATGCCACTAAGATACTCATTTTCATTTAGTTCAGCCACTGTCAATAAGATCCCCCAGTCAGGTTCTTATTAACCAGGTAATTACCTGCAAGTCTTCCTCCAAGGAAGTCTTGGATTTTCAGCCAAGCAGTAGCTCACCATTTCCCCATCTACTGTGGGAGCAGATCCACTCTGGGGACTGGTTCTCCCCAAACATCTCCCTTCAATGATAAGTTACGCTGATGAAGTAAACAGCCCACTTCCAAAAAATAAAGTTTTGATTGCAAGCTCATTCAAGATGCAATGTCATCAACAGTTGGCTGTTTTGGTAGCGAGGCCACGGAGAAAATTGGGTGAAGCATATGAATAGATAGCTAAACAGTTCTAGAAAAACACAGTCTTGAAAGCTTTGTTTTAATCCGATAAAGGCAGCAGCTGTCATACATCAGCATCTCATTTCTGACCAACCTTCCTTTCTTCCCTGTCACTGAAAAAGACCTGCCTGAAATCCACGCTGCTTTACCAAGTCTTAAAGTTAACTAATGCCAAAGAAAGATCCTCTATTTTACCTTGTACTTCTGCTGTCATCCAGCAGGATAATCTTTCCTACAGTTGTTACTTTTCTGTAGTTAAAATACTAAAACTCCAGGGTTTTAGAATCTAGTAGAAAGATGGTAGGCCCTTCATGGGCAACAGCCCATAAAGCAATAGTTGTATTTTGTGTTTGGTCTCTGAACCAAAGCTTTTTTCATCAGTCTTTCTTGTGCTCTCATGTGCTGATGCATACACCCTGGCAACACTTGAAAGATATCTTACCATAGTGAGGGGTTTTGCAGGAAATCCAGGATCAAACATAATATTTTAAATATAGAATATAGGAGGAGAAATACTTGGCTGTTACTATCGTACATGTTCCCTAACTGCACGTGCAATGTATGTTGTATGTAATTTCCCCAGAGGAAGTTCCCTGTAATTGGCCATTTCTTCCTAGCAAAATAACTTTTAAGTGCTATTACTAAATAAGTCAAGCTCAAACATCTTGTGTATATACACACTCCCCTGGTCTATTGTTTTGACATGAATTAAGTTTACTTTGGACTGTTAGGTTGTAGGAGAAGGGCACGTAGAAAGTCATTTTTCTTTTAATGCCTATTTTACAGTTCTTATGATTAATACAGTTGTCATTAAGATACTTTCTTTTTTGGAGCTGGTAGCTTTTCTTCTTGTCCTGGACTGATTCTGCTACGTTTCATGAGGCATTGGCAAACAATCTCTTTCCTAACATCCAAATTTAAACCATAAATCGGGGACTTCAGAAGAGATGAGGCTTACAAATGTCTTATTTGTTTTGTCCAGTTAAAATATTTTAAATGGGCCTGAGGTTCCCAGACATAAACAGCTGTCACAGCTCCAATGACAGCATATAAGTCTACCTGAAGGAATTATGCCTGCATTTTGAGCCCCTCTGTAAAATATATCTATTCTAATACATTTTACTTTCTCATGGGCTAAGGATATTCAGTGTCCACAGGTTAGCTGATGTGCCAGAACTTGATCTCCCTGTATTAAACCACGATGTTTCAGGTTGGTACCACCAAAAAAAAAAAAAAAACACATTTGGCTAAGGTATCAGGATACAGTTATTTTAGAAACACTTTCAGATGTTTTCCTCAGAAAGAAAGTGTCACCGAATTTCATAGAGGCTCAGAGAAGGAACAGGTTGCATCTTAAAGATCTGTTTCAAATGTTTCTGCTCTATGGAAAAGGATTCCTTTTGTTCAACCATCTCAGTCCTTCTGACAGACTGGAATGGGAGAAAATGCCAAGCACTTGCTTCACTCTACTCCACGTTCTTGATTTTTGCCAGCCGTCAGACAAGGGTGCTCAAAATGACCAAGTAAGCATGCATATGTTCTTTATTTGTGATTAAAAATACAGTTGCTTGGTTTTGACTGCTTAAGTTTACCCAGGGAACAAGACCTGAACACCATGTCACATGTGGAGAAACTGCTACTAAGGCAAAATGTTTCACATTTTATACATTGTTCATAGCAAAAATTACAGAAGTCCAAGAGCTGGTGATTTGTACAGCAGTAATGTACACTGCCTGAGAACAAATTTAGACATCCACATACATCAGATATTGACCACTATCAAGACAGATGTGTCAACCAGCAGATCGATATCACCAGCTGCTTTTGATGTCAGAATTTGATCACTTTTCCTTTGCCATCTAAAACCTGAATATATTCATCCACCCTATGGCTCACCTAGCAAAAGCACACAGAAATTGAAGTAACAAAAATCACAACTACTCAGCGGAACTGTTCTCCTTTGAAGGATGCCTAGACACCTCAGTGTAAGTGCTGAGCAATGGTTGGAGACAGATGGAGGCAGGGAACAGGCAGGAAGGCTGAAGTCAGAGCCCAGCCTTCACTCAGAGGAACCATTTCTATACTGCCAGTTGTATGTTGAGGGCAGCAGGCGTTTCTGTGCTTAAGCACTGACAGGAAGATTGGGCCACCTGTGTGTTATGCTTTCCTCCTTTTTAAAAGTGGTTTTTTTAATGCCATGTTGGACAACAGTTGCTTAATTTCTTTAATGAGGGTAGCAGAATAATTTCAGCAAGCTAAGAAGATCACTAAGCCTTAAGCTGGCTCTCTTAAAGGTGTCATGTTGTTTCTTGGTCACGGTCAAAGTGACCTGTATTTGTAATTAGTTACATTGCACTCTCTGAACCTATCTGCAGGACTTAACTTGTTTGTGCCATGGGTAATATTAGTTGTTAAGGGAGTATCTCCAAATAGTATATTTGGAAAATAACTTCGAATAGGCCTAATGAAGATTTGCCTTACAGATAAAAGCTTTATAGTGAGCATTTACACCAATGTTTTTTCTTAATTTTTAATGCATTTTATAGTAGTGACTAGAGTTTACCTTGGATAAGAGTACCTCTGTATAGGAAATATTTTAATATTTTTACAAGTTTTTTTTTTTTTTAATTTTAATAAAACATAAGCATAGATTGTAAGGCAAGAAATTCAACATTAGTGTAACAAGGTTATCACACAGGACCTCTCTCTCCATTATAAGGTTTTGTAATTAAGCAGTCTAGATTAACAGCACCTTGGTCTTTGATTATAAATGTTAACGTGATAAAAGAATAAAAAAACATTATCTACAGCTAATGCACATTGTAGCACAATATTCTCCACTGTTGCCTTACTTTCATAAGAGAAATTTATATAGTTTTTAATTTATATTCTTAAAACAAAAAAAAAAAAAAAAACCAAAAAAGGCAACCTTTAGCTGCATTTTTTGTTAGAAGACATAACATTAAACTGAGTATCAAATAGATCTACTTCCAATGCAGGAGATTACATTGCAGTTTTTAGGAATAAATTCTCACAGGACTTCAGAACTTGCCACTCATAAAAATATTCTCCGAAGTGCCCCAGTGACCAAAAGTGTCCTAACAGCCATAATGTTTCCATGTCTGATTCAGTGCAATCTGCAGGTCCATTTCCCCCCCCTGCCCCCACCTTTGTTGTTTGTGGTGGGTTTTTGTTTATTTTTTTTTAATCTTTGATTATCTGGGGGAAATGG